AACAAATATGACAATGTTCATTGTCAGGTTTTCATCAGGCTCTCGAATTACATTGGTCACTTGCATATCTACGTTTGCTCTAGTCCCTCCTTTACTGTCATCACTGAATATGGGAGCAATCCAATCTACTACTAACGTCTTATTCTACGGAACTAGGTAATATTTCTCCAGGGTTTTTATACGGCTTGTCAGCTATATGAAATGGAAATTGTTGATAGAACTCAGGAACTGGACCTGGATCAATGGGTGCAACGACGGAACCACAGTAAAAACCTGCTAATCAGCTCTAAAATTTCTCTGGCCAAAAATCCCAATGCCGCTTGAATTGAATTCTTGGGGACATTTAATGTCACTGTCTCGTACAAAGGTATTTCCTCCTTGTCGTTATTCTACGTACCATCTATACCTGTGATGATCGGTATTTGATAAAGTTCTTAAACTTCGTAAACAGGTCGTCCAGATAACCGTTATTAGCTAATGTCTCCGACGGTGTATAAATTAGAAGATGAGCACGAAATGTTGATCGCGATTTTCATTGCATCACGCACAGATCACCAAAACTATAGGCATGCGAAACAAGAATGCAAGGCCAACACCGAAATGCAAGCACGTGAGTGAGAGTGACAGTTCGCGTGTTCAGTGACTAGGATCAAAATGTACATACATTTACATAGGGAAATGAGTGAATCGTCGAAACAACCAAGCGACCAACATTAAAGCTAGCTAGCAGAATGAGTACGTGCGTAGGCATTAAGCAATGTTTAACAATATACACTAATACAAGCGCGACAATAATAATGATACAATAGTATAGATAAGTTTTTGTTGTGTAAATAACTCTGTCAGTTAAATAAGTTAAAAAAAGACTTAGCCAAATTAAATGTAAAAATCTCGGTTGCATGTGAGCTGCTATGTATCCACGATATCGAAAAGTTGACGATCTACACTTCTCTGACCCACTGTTGAAAATATGGGGCAGTCCAGACATCCGTCCATTTCAGGATGGACCTCAGCTGCACTTCGGAGTCCAATGATATGTCTAATCAACGTCTCAAAAAATCTGCTTATTAGTGTTAACAATCAAGGTTACACTAGCCTGGAAGTTTCGATCGTTCAAATAAACGTCGCCACATGTCGAAAATATCTTGGGCTATTATTACCTTCTCGTAATATGCATAAGCAAATTAGAAGACTACAAAAGCTGCAGTTCCGAACATTAATAAAAGACGAAATCGTAATCTTCTGCTCGGATATCGAACGGGGAGAGCTAAGGTCTTTCTCATAAGTGATGTGCAGAAACTCTTGATTATGATGAACTGACCATTTAGATACTACACAAAGGCCTTGCACCAGCTGAACAAATATGTAAGACTCACAACCACTACCAACAGGCGACGTAGACCGTTGGATAAAGAATTTAATTCGAAACAGTTCCTCGTGTTGTTTGAGATGTTTTTGGTTTCTGTGTTTGACCTTACTTTTGTAGACGCATTTTATATACAAGTCATTTGGATTTCGATGACTGTATCATATTATCAACTATCGCAAAGTTACATTCACATCTGTCTAAAAATTTCCGCTTCTGCCAAATGAACTTACACCAACGAACATCTCTCTGGAATTCGAATCAGCCCCACTGTGTGAAATAGATATAACTGATTAAAACTGACATTTCTTGACGGAATTCATTACTACTTACCCACTCTACTTAAACGTCCCTTGATAGAATTAAAGATTTTGACAGGGACTCAGTTTCTGGCAGTTTGATATAAAGCCCTACCATTGAGAATATAATCTTCCGACTGTGTCTTTAATAAAAAATAACACATAATTCATTTTTGTTTTGATCGTTTAAATCTCCCCATTAATGCTTAGAACCGCAGTCGATCAATCCCGCAATAGTATGAACGCATCCTCTGTGAATTGCCTTGATATTGCCCCCACTCATAAACATTGAGAGCAGAGATAATGATGACTAACAGTGACACACTGAACAATGCAAAAATATACCAGTCCCAAGTGATAGGTTGAGTGACAATGTAAAGCGGTCATAAATACTAACGTAATCACTCTCCCAATCGATCATCTTCCATCATATGTACATTATTTGATTATTTACTGATATCTATAAATACACAATACTAGTACGTATTGATCAAATAGAAGTCGAAATTCCGTTAAATGTATTTTGGTTTCATCCAAATCACATAATCAAGTTTCTCAGTATATACTACTTCAAGCTAGAAAAAATGTATCCGCGAAGAATTTTGATTTCGTAAGCCCTTTCAATATGACCGTTACTTCCACATCAGGAATCTCTTACTCATTACTGTCTTTCTTTTTGTGTGAAGATCGGGACGGATATTGGGCTTTGAATGGTGCAGTACATCATTACACACACTTCACTGTGAAAACATTGACTTACCCGCTATTTTACGTTCAACCTTCATGCAAACTCTCGTAAGTTCCGTTAAGCATGACTTATTTCTATGACTGATATCTGACTCATGATCAGATCAATACACAAATCCAAAATCAATAAATTGAACGAGTAAGCCCATCAACAATGAAGATTCATGCGTCTCATGTGTCTTGTGTATCTATGAATCTGTAATAAATAAATGACCATTTCTTAAGGTCAGTAACGCTACTTGTTCATTATTTTTTTGTTTTAAGTGAATAGTACAAGTTATCCAGATGATTCACACTTTAGGAGTGCTGTAAATTACTACACATCTTGTATAGACAGTCCCAATGCAAGCATCCAAGTGATTGAAAACGAAGTTATTAAATTGATAATATCTCTATTCAAAGGGTGGTACTTGACAACCGATTTTGAAAACATCCCTTTCACTGTCAAAGAGAATCTACTTGACGACGAAACATTCGCTCTTACAGGTTTAATTTTACCTTTGTTGCTTCAAAGTGGAAGTACATCTTTATTTTCACTAAAGCTAATAAAGGATGACAACCCACACATTCATGTGAGTTACTTAGTATTAAATAATTTGGGCGCTGAGCTGTAAGACCGCGTTTTAAGTGTTCAATTTTTATACTATTTCCAAATTGAAATTATATTATTTGAAGGATTACTGGAAACAAGTTATTGTTTACTGAGGAAAACCCTCGACAAATTTTCATAGATCCTGATTTCGTCATAATGACATTTAGTCGTTTAGTCAATCGGTCAATTAATTTATGTTAGTGTGTTCTACTTATATGCACTGAAATGCTTAATTTGCAAGACCAAATCAAATTCTTAGCACAAATTCACTGAGGCATCATATTTTTATACTATATTTGCATTTGAAAATGAAAATGTGACCGATTCGAATTTCTACTCGTTTTGTCAACAGAACCTGTCGATCAAGATATTTACTCTATTCTGTCACATTTGAATGTATCGAATAAATTAAGGTGCATGAGTTTGTTGAATAATTTTTCTGGTTAGCGTTTTTTTTAGCGAGTTAGTTTTCTACGGGATGGGGACGCTAACCCCATGCCCAACCCTCCTCCTTTATCCGGGCTTGGGACCGGCAGTAGCCCCCGGAGGGACTCCAGGCGGAGTTCATGGGTTTGTTGAGTTGAAAACAATTCTCTTTTTCCTATTTGTTTGGAGACACGACCAAACTTATCATGAGATACAAACGACTGTAAAATACCATAGGCATATATATATATATTCACTACTTATGCTGCATTGAAAATATTTTCATAGCATCTGATTCAGTAAAATTTTCATAATGATGGTTCATCGACGAAAAGTCGTGTTTTCTTCTACGATGGATAGTATCTTATTTACCCAGTGTGTAACTGAGAAATTACATCACTCTGATCTGATTCAAAGAGCATTAGGTCGATAAATCAGATTTAAATTTGGACAGTGATAAAATGCATACGACTTTATGGTTCGTGTTTGGTGAAACACCACAGACAGATCGTAGATCAAGTAGTAAAGGCATCTGTAAACGTTTTTATAATGAAATGTTTATTTATGTTTGTATGAGTTACCGCAGTATCACGCAAAATTCTCACACTATTTAAAAAGCAATTTGTGCTCTTGTACTGAATATTTTAGAAGATTGCTGTTGTATATCTCTCAACAGAATTTGACTTTCCTGAATGACAAATCTAATCTCACTTCATTCTAGTAACCAACACTTCACTCAATTTAAGTTATTAAGCTATATTCTATGTGATCACACTCTCAATGCTTAAATTATTTTTACTGTTTTCTACAACTACAACTCGATAAATCTGTGCATTTCGAGAGAGAATCCTGTGTGCAGATAAACAAAAATCGAGTGATCCTTTGTATGAGTGAATCATCATTTATTTTCTAAATAGGGTCACATGATTTATCAAAGTAGGTTGTTTCTACTTTTCAAACAAAAAAGAAGTTTCTAATGGATACTGTCTATTGAAATAAGTGTTTTCCAAAAAAACATTTTAGTTGCATAACATTTCATTTGGTTCCCGGTGAAAAATACAGCTCTTTTGTTTTGTATTTCAGATTTCTCCAGGTTCACTGGAAGCTTTTGATGCAGTTACTTCTAGCGTGGTAAGATTAAACTATCACGAATTATTTTTATTACAATAATTGACAAAATTTCATCAGAAGTTTATTCTTGACCAATTGTGACTTGTGATACAGAATATATAAAACAGGATGTGAAGAGTCAAAGAATTTTAAAATCGTTTTTGTGATATCGCCAACAAATAAGTTATATATTCATTGTGTTTTACACTGAAAAGTGACCCGATTTTTTACCTGACTTATATCAGGCAGAATTATCATGTATGATGGAATTGAGAAATACCTCATTAATGTACAAATTCTCATAATTATTGTCTGTTTTCTGATAGCTCAAATCAAATGACGTAAAATCTTTTTAAAATGGATAGGCACTTGAAAATGTGACAATAACAAAATGATTTACTTTATTCTCAATTAACAGTCCGATGGTGAGAACACAAGTGATGATAAACTTTTCAAATATATGAAGAGAATTGGACCTTCGAAGGGAAAGAGAAATTTAATAAAAAGACTTTTCCGGTTGCACTCGCAAATCAAAACTGTGAGTAAACTGACCACGTTTACTTTACAACCGTTCAAAATTATGTTGTTATGCATTTTTCTATATACTTCACTATTTTGTATAAAACGGACATAGTCTCCAGTGATTAGTATATTCGTATTTTAGTCATGAGAACAAAAGTATGAGGTCTTGGCAATCAAATAAACTTGTAGCTACCCAGTAGTGTTAGCGTTTTTTGGAGACGTGATAGGTAACTATCCAGAGATAATAGCAGACGATAAATAAAGTGACCAACCATTTTATGTTGTTGGCTGAACATTAAGTTAAATAAAAATAAACCTCCATCTCTCATGAATTTTATACGACAATAACACTTTCCTGAAATCATCTTTGCAGATGTGAACAAACCTCGTCCAATGAACTAAACGACTGTAACGTAATTTATTTCAAATGATTACAGTGATGCAAAACGAATATTATTGATTCAAATATTTATCGCCTTTCCCCCACTAAACTCGATATATATGCTTCAGTTTGTGGAATCACACACAAGAAAATCCATATTACAAACAACTTCAAAATTTCACTATCATAATTACAACATACCACAGATAACTCGTATAATTCGAAACTTCAAAAATGGTAAAATGGCTCAACGAAATGTTGATAAAGTTATCGTTCGCGAGAAACAAGATAACAAGGCAGTTAGTGCTTGCTTTTCGAAAACCAGTTTAATTTCAATGGCACTAAACAGTTGTTTTGATCTAGTTCCAAAATCCCTGGTAACCCTCACTCAAAAACCTAGATCAGATAATTGATTGTTATTAGATTTTATTATATTATATTCATTTCAGGCTACACAACCATCTGGTTCTGATTCAGAAGTCACAATTGAGAAGTTAACGGAAATCTGTCCAATAGTGAGTTGACGCTCAAACTGTTTTTAAAATGTCACTTACATGTGAAGCGAATTTCTCATTCCAATCACTGAATGAATGTTAGATTCGTCAATATGAACGTTTACTTAAGATTAGCCAGTAATTTGCCAGCTAGTTGACTATTAACCTTCATAAATTCTCTAATAATAAAACTAAGAAAAGAATTCACTCATTCCTTCAGCGACTTACTGTTATCGTCACATCAAAGCAGGATTATTGTGACGTTCATGGGTGCCAAAACAACAGTCTTCACTATGATCTGTCATTTCTCAGCATTACATCTACACTATCAATGTTGTAACGATGTCATGTAATGATTTTATTGGTCACTACCACATACATAACACTACATATACTTTGATGCTATGCATTTATTCGCACATCTCGGAGCACAAATACTTACCTAATTACTTACACCTGTCACTCCCAATGGAGCATAGACCACTGACCATGGACACAAATAACCCTTACCTAATCCCACAATATTTTCTTCGATTCAGCTACAGTTTTGTCGTCAAAGTGTTGAGTACCCTCACATGTTAAGCCTTAGAGAATAAGTAATAAAATTATTAGTATCTACCACAAGTGGAAGAATCAAAATGGTTTTGATATTGCATGTGTCTGAGTGAACTGAATCGTTCATCTGCGACTAACTTCATCAAACAATATGAACTGAATAGCAATTGTTCCCCTCATCAAATTGTCACCCACTGACCCCAAAACGTCATTTATGGTGATGTTGCACTCAGAAATGCCTCGTTTGTAAAACCACAACAAATTAAACGAAGCTGATTACATATCCATGCTGGAAATGTGTTATTAAAATATAAATCTGTCTATATGAAGACGGTTGGAATCTAAATCCGTCTATTTGCTGAACTAAATGTCTCAGAATGGAAAATCAGGTCAGGCGAATTCACAGTATCCACAAAAGTACATTATCAATGTTCGTAAAAGTAGAACCTTTACTCAATGGACTCTTGTCTTACCATTTCTTAATACTCAAAATTAGAATGTAAGTCGATATAATGTATTGTGGTGGTCGGTATTCGATATAATCTTTAAACTTCGTATACAGCTCGTCTTGATAACCGTTCTATATAACGTCCCAACGGTATATTAATCAGAAGGCAAATACGAAGTGTTGATTACGTTTATTGCGAGACCACACACATATATCCAAATGTACAGATGCGTTAAACAAGCATAGAAGAGTTGTGCCGAAAGGCAAGCAAGCGAGCGAGAGCCAGAGCAAGAGCGTTTAAGTGAGTGAGTGTGTTGAATATGAATAACATGGACATATATATACCATTTGAAATGAATGAGTAATCGAATCAAATAAGCAGTTAGTAGTAAGACTAGCAGAGTGAATAAATGCGTAGGCCGTAAGCAATATTCAAGATACGTATTTCATACAAGCACAAAATAATAAGAGTACAATAAATTGTTATAACGCGGATGACTTTGTCCGCTAAATAAGTTAGCAAAATGGCCTAACTGAGTTAAATGAGAATAAACTCAATTGCACGTGAGTCGCTATAGTATCCGCTTACATCAACAAATGTTTGTTACTACTTAGTTACCCTTAAATCGAACTCGTAGATCTGATAAACGCTTTGTCTGTTGTTCAAAATGGTGTCTCAATTTCATCAAAGTCAACTTCTTTCAAAACTATTATGAATAAAAATTATAGGTTCAAACTTCATACAAAATTATCTTTCAACGATAATGCAGTTAATAAGAACGGTGCAGTGTTGTTTGCGTTCATTGTATACAACAAAATATATGATAACTACCGATCACGATTAGCAGAGAGACACTGATCATGTGTAGGAAATCGATTTGTGACACAAATCATTTACTGTCTTCGTAAATGTATTTCAACTTGTTATTTGTTTTGAACAGATTGATTGGAATCTTTTATTTGAGAGTGTATTCAATGAAATCAAGTATGATTCATACAAGAATATGAAAATTGTTGTCTATAATCAAGATTCGTTGAAGAGAGTTTGTGACAAACACACAGAGTTTATGAGATCAGATCAAGGAAGAAAGTAATTTCCTTTCATTAGTGAATGCTACGCTTTTAGAAACTATTCGTTCTGACAAAATCCTTGTTGTTAATATTCATCTTCACACCGTTTTTCTCATTTATTGACATGGTATTCAAAGTAATTCAACCCAGGAAGGGAACATTATATAAGTTGCTAAACTACTACATGTATTTTAATTCCAATAAAATCCACCTAATGTTTATTTACATCAAATCGCAATGCGATTTTTTTCACACTGTTTCATTGTTCAATATTATCGTTAGAGAAATACGACTTTTGCTTATTCGACAGTAAGTACTCTTAATTCAGCAAACAATCAGACACGTAGGTATCATTACCAAGGTTTAACTTGGTAATTTCGAAAAACGTGAGCACTGGGTAGATTGTTATAAGCAAATTAATATATTTGTAATATCATAATGAGTGGAAAAATTGAACTTTTTGACGTTTCTTGACTCGGAGTAATCCACTTCTTCAGAGAATAAATAAACAAATCGAAATTAATCCAAGTTTAAATAATACAACGTAACCACGAGAATATTATGTGATCAATCCTAAAACTGGTAATTTAATCAGACTTGGGTAAAATAAGAAGAACTGGATCCAGACTAGTGCGAACCTTAGTTTGAAAGTCAAAATCAGTTCATATTTATACACTGAGTTCGATTCGATGTTAGATCATAGACATAAAATATGAAAGTTTGGTTCAAGGAAGAGTTTTCTTTTCGGCAAGTTCATTTTCCAAGCTGTTCAATCACAAATATTAACTCATGTTTCACAATGACAATACTTACAATAAGGGTGATAATAAAATTCTGTAAAACACGATGACAGTGAGGTGGAATAAACAAAGAAATTAAAATGTTATTTGTATCAAGGAAAGTAATCATAATTTTGTGGTTAAGAACCTGAATATCCATCAAGTAGACAGATAGAGAAATAAGTTTGGCGGGTTGGTTAATCACTTCTCGATTTACTGGCTGAAATCATTTGTATCGGTTGTCTCACTTGGAGAATATGAATAGCGGCCATTCTGTGAATTCTTTCCCATATCTAGGTAATCGTCATTCATGATAACTTTTTGTCCTAGTCTTACAAACTACCACTAATGTTAGTTCTGTACAAAACGTTTCCTCGTTATTGTCAGGTCATATGACTACCAATAAATGACTATCAATAAATAATTATTATTTATTAACATTTAATTTCAAAGAAATTTACACTCGATGACAGTGATCAGTTTCTTGTTCAACATGAGAAATATATTGAATCGGCATTTCGAAGAGTTTTATCCTGCTAATGTTCGTAAGTAACATTGTCAGTTTCCCTAAACAAATTGATTTCCAATTTTGTCTATGTTTAATCCAAACGTTTTCATTTCAATATTAGAGGTAAAGGAAAAACAAATAAACCGACCGGAATATAATTTACATAAATGTCGATATATTCAACATATAAACTATTATCAATATTAGGATACATTGCAGATACATAATAGTCGACAACATATTATACACAATGGATTAAATAATCATTCGGATAAAAGATCACAAAACAAGCGTCACTTATTCACATCACAGTCATAGTTCTTCAGTGAATTTATCTCTCATTTTTCACACCGATTCACTTTTGATATGTCATCTGAACAATCAAATCAAGTCTTACTAATGTGCATGTATCTGGCTAATTTCAAACGGTATTTATTTTTTAATGAGAAAGGATAGATGAGTACGATTCTGTAATAAGTCATACGATACTCAATATGAATTAAAAATAAACGATGTTTCATTTATTGGTCTCTTTATATCACTTCATTTATTGACGTCGACAAAAATGTCAGCGAAAAAGCCAACAAGTTGCATTGATGAAGTAAAAGAAAATTTCCGATGGACAATAGAAAAGCATCACAAATATTCTAGTATAAGTGAAAGTACACAAAATCAAGTGAGTCTACAATTTCATTAAAAATCTGACTATTCATTGTTCTGCTTACCTATTTTGAGAAAGCACGATATTGGTCTGCTTACAGATAATCGTGTTCAGATATGCAATATGTTGTCAGTGAGAACTTCATTTCAATGATAAAACTGAAGACAATTTTATTGTTTCTAATCATAAACTAATATAATTATGTCACTACGATACGCTTTAAGCAAATTATAGCAAACGTTTTTGCGTTCTACTCAGATGGACTACCATTTAGTGATGAAGCGATTTACTTGTTTCATAGATGACGGTTGTCTGTTTGATCACATGCATATCTTAATGATTCCTCCTCGAGGACTGTTTCTTTTGCATCGACTTGGCAATGGAACAATGAACGATTGTGTTCAGTCGGCCACATTGATTCATCTAAAGTACTGATAGTTTATTTTGTAACATTTGTGTAATTACTTTGATTATGAGCAATATATCATTATGCATTGAATAGGTTCTCGAAATGTTCAAACAATTGAAAACGACCTTCATTAATTCATTGTCATCAAAGTCATGGTCCAGTGAAGATGAAAAGCAGAAATTCATCAACTTGGTTTGTCCTATTTTAACTGATCAATTGAACACTATTCCATTTGTTTGTTTAGGCTAATGAGTATCAGTTGTCCATAATTACTTCGAAAAGTTTGTCCGCAGCCGAAAGAGACAGCCGAGATTTCATATTCAATGTGAGTTTCACAAATAATTTATTGGTTGTTGATTATTATCCTGGAACTATGGGTGAACTGAATTCGTTAAATAAAAAGAATCACTAGACGTCTTGAAAGAGATTTGCATTGTACTACCACTCTGTCCACCACATGACTTGTCTTGACGTTAACCATTCATGACTAACGTAAATACAGTGAATGGAACAGAATAATATGCATTCGTTTCACTTCGCGATTTCTCATCAACTGCTTACAATCATACTTGTCATGAGATATGACATACTGCCTAACTATAAAACCAAGCACTTGAAATGATACAGATTATCAGCTCTATATATACACGTATATGTTGAGGGTGGTGTATGAAGCAAACATATGGTAGACAGGGCAGTAATCACACATAATTCCGGAATTGATAAAAAGGAATGTGTAACAATTATAGAAGATTTGAATAGCTCACAATAACTCCAAGAATGCTGTTGTTGCTTAGATAGTTCGGGAACGAATGTTCTGGCTATCGAAGCTTGTTTAGTAAAATTTCTCAATTTAACTTAGGAGTAACTGATATACACCCGTCTCTTTCTGATAGAATACACTAGGTTCGAAAATAATATTACTCACTGCTGCAGTGAAGCTTCACGAAATTAGATTTTGTTCGTCAATTATTTCAGATGAATGAATAACGTCAGTAACATGCTGGCTATCGGCTGAATAGACAGCGATCTCAATATCTAGGGTTGAGGTGTCTATTAGCCTCGGGATTTTAGCAATGTGTTCTGAAATGCGATCATACATAGACCTCAGTTTTCTAATTCCATCTATGTACTTTGTCGTAAATGTTTCAGCGCCCGCTTGCCGACTACACTATCTAGATCACAACTCTGACATTTGCCTTCTTCATCTAATGCGAAGATAAATTATTGTGTCTCATGAATAAAACCATAATGGTTAAAGGCATTCGCTCAAATATACAAATGTACATTTTCCCATTTTGATGATACTGTTGAAAATTTATTAAAACATACGTATATTTGGAATTAGAAAATAATGTTAAGAAGGACATATCATGCTACTTCAAAAACCAAATGTCAATTGGAAATTGTTCCTTGATCAAAACTGTAAAACGGATTCGATGTGGAACTACCCAGCCTTAACTAATTATAAAAAACCTTGTTAAAGAATGTTGTTCACCTGTAGAATCGTAAACGTGAAATTCACATCATTGCATATATTTCACTATAGTCTTCAATATCTGTGCTAATTGATACTTACATCATTCTGCCTGTTTCATTTACTTACTATCCTGTTAAATACGTTTGATTTTGAATGTTTCATTGAAAAGAAGTGGAGCGCTTTGTGAAACAACATTCAGTCTCATGACAGCGTAACTGTGACACCCTTGTTCTTCAAAAAGTGCCAATCTAATGGAAATAATTTAACGTATCTGAAGAGACCTGAACAACTGCTACGAGCAACAATGAATAAAGTATTTAGATGGGACATATTCACGAATATTTAAAGCAAAACATTTTAATGGTGACACATCTGGAAATTTCTTACATTCGTTTAATTGATGAATATTCTAAAAGTTCATGAAAATACCCATTTCCTGTTTTAGAATGAAATTTCCGAGGATGATTACTTAATGAATGTGTACTATTCCCAGAAAACCAAGTTCCTTAAATCAATTTACAAACCACTGGATACTGACGTAGAGTAATTTATTATTTTAAGTATTTGTTTTACAAATTTCGAATAGGCAAATACACTGAATAAAACATATCTTCATTTAATTAATATACTTCCAAACAAATTTAACTCTGAGCAGTAAAATTCATCACATAATTAAGCTCCACACAACCAGACCACTTGATAAGTTTAAAAAGAGCAGGAACGAAAAGATTTTCAGAATAAAATGAGCTCATCATTCCGTATCACGTTTTCCTATCAGCTACATACAACCGAGAATTCCAGTCAATAATATAATTATTCACAAATGTTCAGTGTACTTGAGTTTGTGAAGGTTAGATTATATTGGAAACGTAATAATGAGCAGAATAGAACACAGAATGTGTGACTAAGCATAGTTAAGATCGACTTGTATTTGTATGTTAGAAATTAATTATGTACAGTTGATTCAATTAACTGCACATAACTTCTTCTACCTTGATTGTGATCACTGGTAACCATAACACCTGTTCTGCACTACATCACCAATTTAGTTTTAATCCAGATTCTTCCGAATTCTACTGTTATTGAGATTTTTCATTCTGTGGTATATTTCATAAGGCCTAATCGTCCGAGATTAATTGAATGATAAGCACACATATAAATAGTGCGAATAGGTTAAATTTCCGTCATGAACCACTTGAATTATGTGTGTAACTCCTGTTGATTTACTAAAAACAGACGTCATGTTATCGTAGCTCAATAACTACAGTGAATCAATATACTATTACATCACATTATTCCACTAGCGCCTTTATCATCTTGAACATTTCCATTACGACAAACTGTTCAACCTGTTTTCAGCCAGTAACATGCGTATTACGTAGTATGCCCAATAAACAACTATCAAAATATTCGTCCTAACTCCCGTCCATACTATAATTATTGCATGGAATTTATAAATGAATCACGTTCATCGTTTTGTGACGTATGAAGTCACTTTGCTTATAAACTCGTAATTCATACAGTCGACCAAAAGCAGAGCGCAGCGAATGTTCAATATAATCAAAGCAGATGATTCCATGTATACATTAAATTTAGCTACGTCAAATTTTTTATTTCATTTATTATTTAACTTTAAAATAGCCGTTACTTTTGCCATCTTTGAATCCCTATACATTATTCACTAGATTAACTTTCAAAGTATCTGTTCTAAAGATGATAACTGATTCCGAATACTTGTCTCTTTAGTAACCCTAAATGAAGTATGCAATTAGTTTTCTAAAACTGTTTCAAGTTCCACTAGCATGCACTTTGATGACAACCCGATTGAAAAGATGGTTTTAACACAACTTGATCAATTGGCTTTATACATCAAATAAGATGAAATAGCATGACATCGATCGCCTTTCAAGAATCAATCAATGATAAATAAGTCTTTTACTCAGTCGCTGTCGATTGGTTTGGCAGTATCAAGTCTTTCTGATAGATATTTCAGTCCTCATTTCAAAGTTGTGCAGCACCAATCTTCACTACATGCTAACGTTATTTTATCTCTTTTCTGAGGAAAAAATGTATACTGTGAATTGTGATTTGTAAAAGATCAGAGTCGAATAAACGTACACGAATTTAGCTAAATCAAATTTTTTTATTTCATTGATTATTTAACTTTAAAATAGCCGTTATTTTTACCATCTAAGAGAGTCTTACATTTTTGTTCACATTTATTTAGACCTGACGCGTTCAGTTTTATGCCATACATATCTAGTTCGGTTGAAGATAAACTTATTAAGGTATCTGCCGGTCTATTAAATCTACTATATCACAAAAAAGGATATTCAATGTCTGAACAATATGGGACTATCGGTTGGTTTATTGGTCGCCAGCTGATGTATGAAGGTAAATTTTACATAATGTTCATTTTGCCTAAATCAGATTGATGTCACAATTTGTTGTTTGAAACAGTTCGTGAAGTACTGAAATGTACCAATCTATTTTACATGCTTAATCATTAGTTGAAGCGAGATGATGAAATAGGTAAGGGTACTTCCACTGAGATGCAATGTCTGCCTAGACTGCAATGTGTGAATCCTTAAACTGGATAATGTGTAATAATTTCTAATGACAGAAATCAATGTGACTTTCATCATTTACTTATCTGCAATAAAATGACTTGACAGGACGAACGCCATTTGTGTTTATTGTAACTGTACTTGCTTACACAGAAATCTAGTGGTCGTCATTCTCAGAATAGTGTTGTGCAAATCATTGAGGTTTAACTGAGATTATGAACCGATTAATGTCAGACCACCATTCAAAACCCTATGCCGATAAGTAGCATGTGCCCCCTAGTAATTGGCTTCGAAATTTCGGCGTTCAAGATGGTGATCGCACTGTGCCGAGGAGTCCCATAACAGGACTAAAGCGCCGTCCAGTGCTTCCATGTTTCCAATGGTAGACTAACTTAGATCGCTTCATGATCTCAATTAAAAGTCACCATTCTAATTGGTTTGAACGTTGACAGTGTAAAGACTTTCATAAATGACGTAAATAAAACTCGTAATGTAATAAAATTGTTCGATACAATAAACTGCGTTTTCCATAAGATATTCAGTGTCCCCTAAAAAGCCGAAAGCTAATGATTAACAAGTTCATTATCAAATGATACGTGAAGCTCTCAGGAAATACCCAATAAATCAAATTCCTTAGACCAATTTTGTCATGATAATGATAGTGTAATAAAAGTCGTCGAAACTTGCCACAAGTTGACATGAATCACAATTACCCATATGGAAATGTCATGATTTCTAAGACTGATGATATGCAAATCTTCTGAATAAAAATCATCACACCTGGTAGTTTGAAGTAAATAAAAGCTGCCTAAACCATTATCTACATTCCCAGCATAAACTCAAATGTTTAAATTATGCTTGCCTTGCAGTAAATAATAACAAGAAAGCAGATGCACCTGAGAGTTCTCAGTTCGCCTGTAATTCACCAGACGCAACAGTTTTTGAGGCTCAACTATGCTGCTTGCAGAAACAAGACGAGTTCAAAGAATACAACGAAAAGGTAAGCGGTCCTTTGAAAAGTTGCTTTTGTCAAGGTAAAGTTTCATGTTCAACGGCTTTTGAAATATCAACCTTGAAGTTGATTGTTGAGTTGTCTAAACCGTTTTTCTTACAAAACATAGACAACTTTATGCGAATAAGTTTAAAAAACGCATTCTGTTCATCAGATGCACATGGTCTCAAAATAGCATATCACTCATTCGGCCAACATGCCGTTGCTGGATATAAACATCACTTACTATTTCTTATTAACTAACGAGTCTGTAGTTGTTCTTTTTTCCTTTGAAATAAAGATGTAACTAAATAGGATAACATTAGTGTTCAAAGTTGCATAACTTCAAACTGCTCAGCAGCCTATTATACTATGATTGCTGAGCATCTGGCAGTACAATACAATTCTTGTCGATGCCAATTTTCTGTAAATTCAACAAAAAGATATTCGGCAACAAAGATCATTTAGATGAAGACCGTTTTCCAGTAACCCGTTGGTACCATACAGATTTAAATGCATAACAAATTATTATTATTCGTTCTCAATGACCATAAGTTACCTCAAGCACGGCAACTTACAAACATTATCAAATAGTTATCATGGCGATATTTAATGCAGTAAATTCGTCTTCGCATTTTGGTTGACGCGTTATAACGAAAGATTTACTGCAGAAGCAAGATAAATACAGCATAAAGTTTGTTACGATAGACAGTTATTTACGATATGTCATTTGAAATTAATCGATGTTATCAATTAAGGACAGTGGTTTCTACGTCGATCATTTCTCAATTAGGTTATGATTATAGTTGAAGAGTTGGAAAACTCCAAACTGAATGATTGAGCTCTGAGGAGCGAGAAAAAATTCGAAGTAAAAACTAATGGAGAATAAAGATCTGTCGTGTTTGTTGTGTGTTGAGAACATACCTTGTTGAATTTGTACATTTAAAGTAGTCTTGATAAGAGAATGAATGTTATAAGAATAAGGAAGATTGTTTGGCAACAAACGCTAATTACGTGTATAGACTATATTCATTTTAATTTTATATGCACCACGGAAATTTAGTTGTAAAAGTGGTGAGCAAACATTTTAGAGTTCCATTTAACACGTTGTAAAACTATTTAATCAAAGCACAGATTACCTGATATATTATCACAGTTCTCATAGCCACTATATGTGTTTACTTTGCTCCTCATATATACTAGGATTTGAGATCATTGTCAGCTGGTATTAATGGTCTCATGCTATCCTTTAAAGTAAGTGAATTTGATAAGTTTGTATCAGTATTACTTGTCACTTAAAAATAACTTGTATTATCGTAAGTGTTGAATTAGTAACATTTTAATTCACTGAATGGTTTCTATATGAAATATTATAGTTGGTAATGTCTGTATGCCACATCAAAGCGATGAATTAGACGGTGTAATTTTAACAGTAGTTTAGGCAGTAATTAGGTGCAAGTATTTATAAATAGTTGTCTTTGCAAGATACTCAACATACATTGGCCGGATACCATCAACAACAGCCTTCTCTGGGAGAGAACAAACCAGCTTCCAGATGAAGAAGAAATTGGGGGAAGATGATGGAAATGGATAGGAAATGCATTACGGAGATCACCAAACTGCATTACGAAACAAGCGCTAACTTGAAATCCTGAAGGGAGACGGAGAAGAGGAAGGCCGAAGAACACAATACGTAGGTAAATGAAAGCAGATATGAAAAGGATCAATAACAATCGGAAAGAACTGGGAAGGATTGTCCAGGACACAGTTGGATGGAGAATGCTGGTGAGCGGCCTATGCTCCACCATGAGGAGTAACAGGCGTAAATAAGTAAGTAAGTTAGTGGGCAGTAATTGGTTAGTGTATCGTTTGTATTCACACGCCAAGCAACAGATATAAATTGATTTACGAATAAATCTTTATTTAACAGTGAACACCAAATAACTGTTTTGATTCTAGAAAGAAGGATAATACAGCGACTGAGTCATGCGCATTCACTCTATTTAGTAGGTTGAATTCACATGACATATCTTGGTTAATCAATAGGAGTCTTCTATTTCAGAAATGATGAACTTACAAAATCCCAATAAATAGACTGTGAATTTCCGGTTTTTCCCATTCTTGTAGAAGTCCCTATATAGAGATCTAGATAAAGGTCTGCTCCTAAGCAATGAATGCGTGAAAATTCCTATTCATTGAATTGTTCAACCTTGCTAACTGACATACTTTTATTTCAGACATACACGGGTCATGGAGATTTGCAAGGAAAGAACTCGTTTTACACATCGTTTGCAAAAGTATGTTTCCAGATATCATAAATTTCACTTTTACAAAACGTATGTATTACAACCTCATTATTATCATGTAAGAATGTTACTTTCATTGTTCAGCGACTACATAACATCTAATTCAAAATGCACATAGAATAAATGTTTACTATGATAATTACGAGAGTGATTATAGAATAATTGATGTGTATTCCTCAATCTCTGAGATTAAAAGAAATCAATCATCAAGACTAACTTTTGTTTTAATAAGAATGGAAACGTTTTAGTTGAACACTGACAATCTCGTGTTGTGACATTTGTCTCAAAAAGAACCATTTGAAAATGTCTTACATATTTAATGATTTGACAGTAGAGTTTTAACGACGAGATTTGTCAATAAATCGTCACCTATATTGGGATTTCGAAGAGTCAAGGAAAAAAACCACAAATCAGCTAGTTGAAAATACTTTACTTACCATATTAACAGGATTGTATTACTCAAAACCGAGCTATTTCTCACTCAAATCTATACTATATAATGAATAAATAGTATATAATTAGTGAATAGTACAATCGTATAATGCGTTTTTACTTTTAAACAATTAGTTCCGTTATTGGAGTTATTCGTCCGAAACGCTATATTCTAAGCTTCTTTCTAATATTCCGTGTACATTCTTCTAGTATAAAGACATATCCCAATAAGTATTTATTATCTTCATTGAGTTCGCTGTTCATCATTTTCTTCTTTTCATTTTTTCCTAATAAATGAAGATGATGTGTAATAGCGACTTCACAGATGTCATTCATACTAAATTACAGTCTCCCGACGCCGTCCATAAATTCAGGTAATTGATTTAGTCATTAATCTGTTCATCTCAATTAAGGTATACTTTTCTCATCTCTAAAAAATGAAGTTTCCAATTTTCGAGAAAATTATTCAAAAATTCATATCTCTGAAGTATGATAACGTAAATACGATTAATGAATGACACGTATTTCATAGGATAGGTAAGCACGACAGTCATCCGTACCATACGAATTCTAGTCCTCAAGCATTGAACAGATAGTAAAGAAGTGTAACTAGTCATTTTATTGAAGAAAAATACCACACGTTAAACAAAATAGTTTCTTACAGTCATTACAGTTCAGTGATTGTCGTTTCATATTCAGAATATGGGTACATTTCACTCAATGTGGTTTGCCAACTGCATTATATAGTATTTCACCTTGTGACACACTTTCCATTTCTTTCAACATACATCTCAAATATCCACCCACCAAGGCTGTATTCTTTCCTGTGCATTAATGCAGATGTGAATATTCAATATCAAATCATCCATATCATATTTGCTTCAATGAATGAAATCAATAATTATTCCATACATTTATTCACGAATGATTAGAATAGTCTATTATGATCCTACGACTTACTAAATACGTTTTGTTTTAACATTTCTCATTACCAGTGTGAATGATCTTCTGAAACACAGTCAGGAATTTGCCACTACACACCGATGTGCATCTGGTTCAAAAATGAATCCTGTGAACAAATGTGTTCTTTAGAGCAAAGCATAAATAATGCGTGTTCGTATGTGGAAATATCTGATGGAGTGTGTCCGCGATTTCTTTTTGATATAAACTGTCATAGTGTAGTTTTACATGTTTTCTTTTCACAACAATAAACCTCATTTTGTAACATGAATATGATATTGTTATATTTTGATGGGTTGATCTTGACAATTTAAATAGCTAAAATCAAATCATTTTAATCCAACAGAAGAAATAGTTTGAAATATTTTCTTTCTGAAAATCGTTTTCATCGCGCTCAAATATTTCTCTAGATTAAATCCATTTTTGTACCGTTTGTATTAGATCTTCATCACTGTTTTGTTTCGACTAGTGGAAGGATTGAAAAAAATTCGCTCAGAATATGCACATTCCAAAAGAAACTGATTCGTTTCAGTCTTTACCATCATCAACTTAAAGATTTAAAAACGTAGAAAGAAAACACTATAAAGCGTTTAACGAGGAAATAGTTATGAAGATCAGATAATCATATCGTGCAATGTAGTAGGATACTGTACAAAATTTATTGCAAGACTCCTTAAAGGGCTCTGATATATTAATTCTGTATATGGAATTTGTGATTCATGTGATTTGTTTAAGATGACTACAACGTTTCAGAAAGTAGAAAATGGAAATCTTCCCCCGCAAAATGAGTGGCTTACTAACATAATAAAGATCAGTATATGGCTTACTAAGTAATAAGTGTTGATTAACTGATCAGACGGTTTTCGACCATATTCTATTTACTAAAATATAACTCGGTCAAACTCATCACGCTATGCAAGTTTCGAAAAACTAAATATCCTCTTCCCTTTGTCTTGCTCCTCAGAATTATAAAAAATGTGAATTTAGCTGTGCTTCAAATATACAGAAAATGGTTTAAGTTCTATAGAGTTCCTACGGACGATCTACAGAAACCCTCTTCGAACCCATCCGCTACTTCAACACCTTATGAATAGGCTTTCTGATATTCAATACAGTTATTCCAAGCGGTCTGTACTAGGTAGTTATATTTGCAGATTCAATTATAACCCAAGATAAATTTTAATTACTTTTATTATGATATCTAGTTAATCGAAGCTTTAGTTGGAAGCTTCACACTTTTTCTAAATGTATTTCTTAAAACGTACAAAGCTAACATTTTAAAGAAACAAAAATATCTATATTTCCATAAATTATCAAGCCCGACTATTCTCTGTAGTATCCCGAAAAATCTGTCACTCAGTCGGTATGCACATACAAATATGCACGTGAACAAGTTGTTGCACTAATTCGGCATATGAAAATGTACTCAACAAGATGCGTAATATGTGAATTTAAACGATAGTAGAATCCATGATAGCATAACACACTGAACAGTGAGAGTATAATTAGAAGAATAATGAATCCATACGATGAAATGTGTAGGACAATACTGAAACTCGGGATCCACAGAAAGTCAATTTTAGAAGCCCTACCGATTTTGAGCCAAATCTCACAAGGTGTGTAACCACCAATCAGAATTATCCCAATCATGCTAACCTGCTAATCCAGACCGTATCAAAGGATACAAGTAGCCTATCAGTCTAAGATACAAAAGAGCCAAAATTGAGTTCCCTTCAGTATATTAGATTTAAATGAATTCATCAATTGTATCATCAATACATCGCTTGAAATATACTCGTGGATCTTTCAGTCAGTTTCACAGTAACCGCACCATCCAGTTCGCTTCAGTGCTTTTTATTTATTCCTGTGAGAGTGTCAAGGATACACAGTTTTCGATTATTCAGCTGTACGAAAATGCTTCCTTTATAACGGTTTCAAAGTCAATCGAACCATAATCAATAATTAGACTAAGTAGTTGTACCATTACGGATCGTTTAATAGACTTAAACACAAGGTTTAGAAATGTAAGCGAACAAATCTTTGATAAACTGTTGTATTTCACAGAACCGGTGAAAATAAAAATTCCTCATCTGCAAATAACATACGTAAAAGAGTTATTGGTATACCTGTTCTGTGTTCCATCGAAATGTAGTTCATATGTGCTATGAAACCTTAAGTATGGGGTTAAATTTACATCACACGTTGGAGTAAATATTTGCATGTATTACAGAAACATCAAGTTAAAGAACCAGGAATTTGTCAGAGGTTATTTACATCTTTAAAATCCACTGAGTAATGAGTCAACAGTTATCATTCACAATAGATGTCCCGATCATAAATAGTGACTTTGGTGATTATGTTTCAAAACTCATTTGTCTCTAACGTCAATCCCGGTGATCTGGCATGGTGACACCATGATTTATGGACGACCATTAAGAAAGTTCACCTAACTACTGGAGTCTGAAGAGTGTCATAAACTAGTCTGAGATATTAGAATCTACATTTAAAGTAGGAAGTTAAGGTAAGGATTACAGTAACTTCCAAATTTGTTCATTCGCGAACGAAGGACACACACAGAAGGTTAACACCCAAATACACAGTTCTAGCATTCGTATTCTCCACATTAAATTCTTCTGAAGCAGATGCCATAACTAAACTCTACCAATAAAAATACAAGTCTTTAGAAAAAATGAAAAACTCCGTAAGAATAGTAAAACAGCTGATATCCCAAACAAATATTCGAACAAAAAAGATAATTGGAACTTCAAGAAACAAACTTTTGAAATTAATGGTAATAACCAAGAACACAATTGATTGATCACTGGGTGGTGATCAGTGTCATGCTTGTCTAGTCCTTATCAGTGCAGATCGAATGCTATCGATCATGTTGCAATGTGGCCACCAGTCTAGGTGACTCGACACTGCGGGCACTATGTATTGAGATTTAGATGGTGGTTGGAGGTAGTCAACAGGAAACCCTGAACCCGGGTTTCGTGCTACTTGGCACTCGTCAGCAAGGTGTACCTGTAATCTTGAGGGAACTGGTGCTCCCTGGCGGATTCGATCTCGTGTCACTGGTGGCCACATTGCAACATGATCGATAGCATTCGATCTGCACTAATAAGGACTAAACAAGCATGACATTGATCACCACCCAGTGATCAATCAATTGTGATTACATCTCAGTCCTACAGGAGGTTAGTCACGGCTCGGATAGCTCAGTGTTAACGTCTCTGACTGTGGAGCTGGGTAACATGAGACCGAATCCGCCAGGGAGCACCAGTTCCCTCAAGATTACAGGTACACCTTGCTGACGAGTGCCAAGTAGCACGAAACTCGGGTCCAGGGCTTCCTGCTGACTACCTCCAACCACCATCTAAATCTCAATGATTAAGAACACCTGATAGGAAATTTATCACTATAGATCTGTTGACTAAAACTATTGGTGCAGCTCATTCTGAGAAACTCACCAGCATAATAACACCAATCCTTTCGAGTTGCTCAACTTCTTATTTAACTGTTGAGAGGACAGTATATGGTACACCTCTTTTTGTTCAAAACACTAAATTTGCTTCAAATGTAAGGATAACCGCAATTTTCAACTTTGTGCATTCTCCAACATCACCGTGAAATACTGTTTTGTGCCGGTTTAGTAATATATTCACCAAGTATTTTGTCGTAATTTCCCTTTGCCTCAATATAGCTAAAGATCAGGTTGATTGGATGATCTTCAAACCCCAGTATTTTTATCCAAGTTTCAATAAGTCCAGTTGTAGGTGCTCTGTGAAATATGATACACTTTTCTCCTTTATTTCCTTTACAGCAACTTCCAAATGTATTTCCCCGATAGTACCTAACTTTCTACTTGAAAAACTGTAAAATGACTACTGTATGGAGTAGATTGGAGACCTTCTCCTGTTATGTGCTATGTCTGATTCCGTGTCAAGATAAATGAGAGCATGATATCCGGTAATCTAAGGCGAAACAAATGTTCTGAGGCTATATGAACCAGTCCGATCAAGGGCAGTTGTTACTTTGACAGAGGAGGCATTTTCTTATTGAACTGTGACTTTCCTTATTTACGTTCTTGAAACTTATAGCATAATATCTTTAAGTACCAACCACCACATAGTCAATATGAAGATGAGGGCTTACTGCCATCATTGTGAAAATCTTACGTACGAGAAACTTGACTGTAAAAGCGTGCTAGAATCGCTCGCTGTTTTCAACGATCCAGACAACAGGTTTCAGATTAACCAATCTTTTTTATTCGCTGGTCACTTTTTGTCATTCAATACTGGGGGAATGTCCAGGTTCGGTAAAAATTATCTTTTAGATATCAGGGTCTTCCATTGCATGCAGCCTCTAAATAAATTCAAGTCACTCAAACTAAGCTTCTGTCAAAGATAGTAGGCTGAACCCCTGATATTTTTAGTTCACAATTTCCTTATTTTTTATCCGGTCATCTCTTGGTTCTTTAGTCATCCTCATACACTAAGAGATGGTTTTAAAAAAGGGGGGCTATCCCACGAACATTTAACACAGTTTAAATGGTCTCGTAGAAACCAAATTCACGTGAATTTTTTTAAAGAATAAAATAGCCATAGCGTTCACAGTCTGTTGCGCCTAACTTTCGTAATAGTGAGATGGTGGAGAAGATTGGTAATAGTATTCGTAATAATATTCTGACTCTTGTGATCTCATCTAATATGCCGAGGTCATCGTTGGACAGGTCTCCAAACATTTTGAGCCATGAGGCAAAAGTAACACCAGCTAAACTCTGAAGGTGTAATTCATGAATGGCATTGATGAGTGAATCAGGTTGATAGTCCTAGCTCACTGAATGTCAGGTCTCGCTGGGTTAAACCCATATTCCAGCCCGCTCAAATCATTTCTCCTGACTCTCAAGGTAGGCTTTTAAATGTTTCAAATACATATTCATCATGGTTTTCCCATTGCCCATTAATAAGCACTCCAATTACATGTTTATTGCAGACGTTCTAGCTGCTATCTATAAACGGAGACTATTTCTACACTTGAACCAAGCTAATAAGGAAAAAGAGTAATACAAGAGAAAAAGATCTACAAGGTTAATTTACCTAAGGGAAATTGAGTGTACTTGTGGGATTCCA